TGTGGTGACAGAACCTCCAACTGATACCAGTGGGTTCAGTACCATCTGGTTCCCAAATCTGTTGGGAAAAATAAAAAAATCAAACTGAAAATAATTCACTGCACTCTAATTTTGGCTCTACTTTCTTTTAAAATATTTTCCCGATCTTCTTCCTCTCCGGCGTTTCATGAGTAAATATCTCAGTGTCACATATATAAGATTTGACGATGATAACTGTCGTTACTCGCTCACTTCATATCGTGTCGTTTGTTCTCAGTTGATGCATTAAGATTCCACTCACCATTCCTGCCTTGGTGAGTAAAAGGAATTGAACTGAACCCCCGGACTCTGATCAATATGATCAATCGGGGCGTCACTGCACTGTGCAACCTAATTCCAGCTAATTGGGACTTTTCACACATATCTCCGGAGCAGAAAGCCTTCCCTAATGAGCGCGGCCACTTTTATTCTCTGATCCGCGGCCAGCAGCAGGAGCCTGGCCCGGCTGACCTGACCCGGGTCCCCCCGGTGGTGAGTGCTGAGCCGGACGCGGCTCCCGGTGCAGCCACACTGAATGGCTGCTCATCCCCTGTTCTCTGCAGGAGCCCTTGGTCTTGCGGGCACCAGGCCTGACCCCACGGGGAGGGGGAGCAGGCCGGGGTCAGCACCCACAGTCAACAACCCCGTACTGGCCTCCACACCAGTGTTGTGCCCTCCATCCACCGCTCTCCCCTGACCTGACCTGGCTCAAGCCTGGCGGGGCTTCCCGTGGTGAGTCAGGGGGTCAGTCTCCCGATGAGTCATTGTAGCTGGTCTTTGCTGACCAACGACAAAAGGATTTTGGTCAGACCAAAGGGGGCCGTAGGAGCCAAGAGAGTGAGGTTAGAGCCGCACCCCTGCCGCTGCAGTCTAATTTAGCAGGATGCTGGTACGTCGGCGACAGACGCCGCAGCGACAATGGCTCAGCACTGGTAAACAATAATGTTTGTGCTGGGTCTCTTTCTTGGGGCCAATCTCGTTCTCACAGAGCCCATCTGGCATCAATAAGATGTCCTGAGTTGCTATTCAGCGCATCAGTCTTCGCTTTTTTCCAGCCGCGGACACTCAATAGCCAGTGTTGCCTCGCACTTACGATGTGACAGATGCTATAGATCTAAAGTTTTGGGCTCGAAGTGAGCAACTGTGAAATCTATAGATATGTCTCGGAGATGTTTGAAGTAAGACGACCTGCTGCTGTGGACGAAGGTTCTAAAAGCTCAGACCTCGTTAAGGTGTTTTACTTGGAGATCATTCTGAAGATTGACAACATTTGTTGGCTTTTTGGTCGAAACATTAAACCATGAATCAGTTCAGATTCTGACAGTAATAAAAACGCATGCTTTCTATGGTAACAGAAACTCAAAACAGAAAGTTTTATTTTTATGCATAATGAAAACAGGGACAAACAAGTCCAAAAATATATTTTGTTGAACAGCAGTAAATACTGTATATATTTGCAGACAAACGTTCTCTTCATGTTTCAGTCCAACATTTAAATCTCTGTGAAATCTACATTTCATTGTTCCTCGCCAAGAGTGATGGATGAGAACAAAAAAACAAAAACAGAACTAAAGAAAAACAGTCACTCTTTAAAAAAAACTCCCCTCAATATTCAGTTCTTTTTTTAA